TCCGTCTGTCCGTACGTCCCGTTCTCGTGATTGCGTTATCTCACGAACCGATTGATGGATTCCTGCCAAACTTAAGTCATGTATGTATCTTTCAGAGCCAATGAATTGATTAGATTTTGGGGTCCTGAGGTCAAAGGTCAAATGTCACAGGGATCATTATGTATGCATAAATAGGTGATCACATCATTAGAACCGATGGACAGACTACCATCAAACACAGGACATGTACAGTATGTATCTTGCTGAGTCAATTAAGTGATTAGATTTGGGGGTCATGAAGTGAAAGGTCCTGGGGCTTTTTATGTTACGATATGCGATATCGGAATATCCGGTATCCGTCGCAGTTCAATAAATCATGTCAACCATCACAACAAACCTGCCTGCCGACTTGTATATCATCATGACTATCTACCAATCTAAGAACCTCGAACTCATCATGGTGGCAGCTGCTGGGATCTTCAAAATCAAGTTTGATTTTTGAAGACACAATTGATCCAGTTCACGACAGTTGGGAAGTATAATTAGCAAGATTATCGTCGATTAGCGATTTGTCACGTCACACTTTTTTGTATGCATAGTACGTGCACCGTACATACCGCACAGTGTACCGAGACACTGATGCTACTGCATATTCCCGATGAACTCGTACGTGAATGGTGTTGTGTGTATGAGCATATAAAGGCTCATAAAGCCTGCTCAGAATAGCCTAAGCAAGTTATAACTGTGCTCAATCACCGACACAGGGGTCTGCATAATAACTAAACTAAAGTTTAAATCTAAAATTAAGCTAAATCAGAGGTGTGAACATTAAACCTGTTTTCAGATAATATTAACAATTAAATATCTGGTGTGTGACTAATTGTCACTGTCAGACATTGAGTGAGAGTGATCAACATTTTCATTGCATGAGACACCTAATGACATTCACACAGGTGCGAGAGTGTACACAGGTATACGTGTACGAACCTTATCAACACCAGCCGGTTAGGATCTGTTCACATTAAGATTAACAACAACACTCATTCGTATAATCTGTCGTAACCAATACGCACACATGAACATACACAATGAGTACAAAGTATCCAGAGATGAACTGGGAGGTACCAGACCTACCCAAAGAGTTCAAACTATTCAAGCAAAAAATGGAGCTTGTGTTGGCAGACCAAGATGTAACTGATAACAAGAAAAAGGCTATCAAAATCAAAATCGCTGTAGGCAATGATGGTTTGCGCTGAATCAATGCGTCTGGGCTATCAGAGGCCGACCAAGAAAAACCAAAAGAGCTGTGGAAATTGTTTGAAAAACAAATAAAGGTAAACATTAATTTACGAGTCCATCGTCTTGAGCTGATGCGATATCGGCAGAGGCAAGATGAAAGCATTGATGCATTCGTTACTCGATGTAGAGACAAAGCAAACACTTGCCAATTCGAGGAATCCGAACTTGCCAAGCGGATTATGGAGGTAGTCATCACCTCAACACCAAGTCTAAAATTCCAGAAATTCCTATTGGACCAGCCTAAAGGATATCAAATCGAAGCAATTCTAGTAGAGGGTCGAAAATACGAGGCAGCTTGAGCCGGCTAAAGAAAGCATAGATTCGTTCAAGCAGAGCCAGGGACGGAAGACGTGTGGAAACTGCGGACGTATCCACAAACCTCGTCAATGCTCTGTATACAAAGATGTGTGTCATGCCTGTGACACAAAGGGCCATTGGGCCAAGTTCTGTCGAAAGGCAAAGAACAATCGTAGTAGAAAACCAGATCGTAGATCAGATGACCAGAAATCTGATGACCGTAAACCGAAGCACGGAAACAAATCACGATCGAAATCAAAGGGTCGAAAGTATAAACCGATAAGTGAAATAGACACTGAACATAATGCTAGCACAGATCATGATCATCAATCAACAGCAGGTCCATCAAACTTCGAACATTTTGACACCATACACACGATCGGACCAAACACAGTGATCAACTCACAGGGTACAGTAGCTTTTGCAAACATTGACATCATAATCCCACAGAAATCAGGTCAGCATTACCTATACTTGAAAATAGACTCCGGGGCAAGCGCTAATACTATCACAGTATGCACAGCCAAACAAATATATGGTGACAAGTGTAGGCAAGTAGTGAAACGTACACCAGTAAAGCTAGTAGCATATGGCGAAATATCAATACCATGCGTTGGTACACTAGACTTAAAGTGTAGATACAAGAGTCCAGAATGGTATACACACACATTCTACATAGCAGACGTGAATGGACCAGCTATCTTGGTTTTGTTAGGTTGCACAGATCTCTGGATTATCACAATCCACACAATGCACAAGGACACACCTACACATACACCTATCACAAGTGTTAGTGACCTCAAACAAACATACCCAGATCAGTTTGATGCCATGGGAAGCTTTAGCGGGAAAGCAATGCTGCATCTGAAAGATGATGCAGAGCCCACCATAGATGCACCTAGAAAGTGCAGTGTCCACCTGAAGGACAAGATCAAAGCCGAACTAGATAACATGGAGAAGCAAGGAGTCCTCAGAAAGATAGAACACCACACAGATTGGTGAAGCTCGATGACCACCCTTGTGAAGAAAGATGGATCCATACGGATATGTCTTGACCCCAGAAGGTTGAACGATGCCTTGAAAAGATGTCCACACAAAATTCCAACCTTGGAAGAAATCCAACTGATCTTCGCAGGAGCTCAATTCTTCTCCAAGCTAGACGCAAAGGCTGGATACTGGTCAGTACACCTAGCAGAGGAATGCCAAGACCTGACCACCTTCAAAACACCATTTGGAAGATATTGTTTCCAACGATTACCCTTCGGTTTATGCACAAGCCAAGACATCTTCCAGCAACTCATGGATATGATCGTCCAGAATGTGCCTGGCTGCGTATGTATCGCAGACGACATTGCCATTGTCGGGAAAACAGAGGAGGAACACGACAAGAATCTCTGCTTACTCATGGATACAGCGAAACAGGAAGGACTCGTGTTCAACAGCTCCAAGTGTACTATCAAAAAGGAAGCTATCAGCTACTTTGGATCCATGTACACAAGATCTGGAATCTTCCCAGATCCAAGCAAGGTTGAAGCTATCAATACACTGCCTTCACCCAAGGACAAGGAAGATATTCAGAGATGCCTAGGATTATTCACATACCTAGCACCATACATACCTAATCTATCAGAGAAGTCAGCACCACTTTGTGAACTCCTTCACAAGGAAATTCCATTCGTCTGGGACGAGGATCACGAACATGCCTTAAACAGCCTGAAAAGCGCAGTCTCATCGGGAGCATGCCTACAGTTCTTTTGACCCAAAGAAAGAGACAACCGTTGAGGTAGATGCGTCGATTAAAGGGCTGGGAGCATGCCTGCTCCAAGATGGCAAACCAGTAGCTTTTGCGTCCAAAAGTCTCTCGAATGCACAATCCAACTACTCGAACAAAGAGAGGGAAACCTTAGCCCTAGTGTTTGGTATCACCCGATTCCATACATACGTATTCGGGAAGGAATTCACTGTGATAACAGATCACATGCCTTTGGAGACAATTTGGAAGAAACCTCTAAGAAGCGCACCACATCGTTTACAGAGACTATTGATCAAGGTACAAGGATACAGATGCCAAGTCAAGTACCGACCTGGGAAAGAAATGATTCTTTCAGATACCTTGAGCCGTCTTCCTAACCCCAAGGAAGCACTCAATGTTCCGCTAGACATCATAGTGGAATCAATCTGCTCCGAAGTAGAAGACACTCATCAAATCGACTTGATCTTCTTCGGACAACACAAGAGAACAGAACTCCAGAGGGGAACATCCAATGACCCTGTTCTTAGGTCATTGTGGCAGACAGTCTCTCAGGGTTGGCCTGAAACTCTCCAGGAGCTGCCGACATCCCTAAGGGAATTCTGGTCTTACAGAGAAGAGATTGGAGTATCTCAAGGAGTACTCTTCAAAGGAATACTATTAGGATTACTATTAAACTTGAATTTGAAAAATTGCTTGTTTTGGTTTGTGAAATCACTGTTTGGCGGAGGCATCATCTTTAACTGCGCGCAGTCAAAGTTCCATGTAGTTTGAAAGTGGAGCGGAATTGGTATGATCTTATTGGCTGAATTTCACACATTTTGGGGTCCAAAAATTACCTTCATAGCAATTTTAGGTCCTAAAAGAGCACTAGAAACATCATAAATAAGAACAAGAGCAATAACCATGCACTCTCTAATGGCATTTGCGGTCTGAAACAAGAACTCAACTATCTCTTTAATTAATACAAAGTCATTGTGAATATATATGTGTACTCCACGTAAGATGATGTCATAAAGTTGAAAGTTAATTTTTTAGGTCGACTTTCAATATTCAAAGCTTTAGATTTTGAGTTTTCAGAGAGCTTTTTGTCCTCTGACAGAGGCTAAAATAGCAAATAAGTGATATTATCGTAATCTATGGCCTATCAGCTCTCTATTGGGTGTTTAATGAAGGAAGTTAGACAAAAGTCAAAGTTTTTTTTTTCACGACTGTAGGGCTTGTCTCAGGTTAAAATGAGTTGAAATCTTTTTTAATTACTGGTAAGCATTTAAAGGTTGGCTGTACTAGTTCAGCCAGAATGGATTAGACCACCCAGCGAGGTCACTAACAGGTGGCTATCTCATTAACTCAGCTCTCAATTAACATAAGAAAAAGAGGATCAAGGGGGACCAACAGGCACTGATTAGGGAATTTTTCTATATAGAAGTAGCAAGTAATACAGTGTGGTTTTAATGTAAGTAAAAAAATTGATGAAAACATCTCTCAATAAATGTATCAATACACCATCAGCATCACAGCATGGTGGATATGAGCACTATCCAAGGAAAGATTACCATTGTTAATATTGTTTTTTATTTGTATAATTCTTCTTCTTTTCATTTTAATTATTATTATTATCATCATTATTATTATTATTGTTAATATCTTATTATTTACATCCTCTTCTTTTTAGTTCCTAATCCGGCAACAAACCTTCTGCTGAGCCCCGATTCCAGTACCAGCGTACAAGTGACTTATGAGCAGCCTATCGGAACTCAGTATCACAAGTATGATGGCTTCAGGATCACGTATGGTGATCAAGAACGCTTTGTGGGAAGTAGCGATACGTCGGTGGTAATCGATGGTCTACAGGCGGGGATTTCATACACCTTTGAAGTTCAGACGTTCAGTGGCGAGTTAGCTGATCGTACATACTCTATGCCTGCAACCGATGACATAATTCTTGGTAATGCTTCTCTTTTTGTATTGTATCCCCGAGGCAGTATGCCGAATGAGACTTTGGTTTTAGTATCAGCATGCAGCCGCCGCTGCCGCCGCATCATATTATTGTGTGCGCTCTAAATTTTGTACGGAGATGTATCTTGGTATAATCTACACATTTACACTTTTGGGAGATGCTGCCCTCATTGTCCGTCCTTTATAGGGTCGAAGGTCATATGTCTTTTATGCGCTCTAACTGCTACATTTCTTGACATATTCCTTTCAAATTTTGTATGGAGGTGTGACTTAGTAAAATCTACTGCTCCTAGTCTTGACAATAGTCACGATCTCTAAAAGTATGTCGTCCTTTTGTTTCAGGGAAGAGAGAAGGGATCTTTGTCCCTCCTTTGAACATAAGGATGACACAAAAATCCCTGCCAGTGCATTTGCATCGCGCATTTGTATTGCGCGGCAATGGAGATTGCAATATTTATAGTTTTCATGCATTTACTTGTACACATGTTTACGAGGAATGCACAACTTTAGGCTTTAATAGTGGCCTTCGGCTAGTTTTTTGCTCCTTATAATTTAAAAAAAAATGCTTTTGTATAAAGATTCAAATTGAAACTGCAAATAATAGGATATAAAGTTTCACTCTTTAATGTCTTGGTTAGAGAACATTTTAGTCAGACAGTTGGAGCACACTTTCAGTCAAACATCACCAACCACAACGTCTCTTGTCTCTCACAATTTTCTTAACCTGCCACTTAATTTCGGAATATACCTTAATAGTCTGGTTCATTTCATAGGCCAACATTATAGAGCAATACAGGTATAATGATGAAGATGTCTCAAAGAGGGCAGCAAGCAAATGTAGCCAAGTGATTTCTACATGCATTGTCCATGTTACGAATCATATGTGTATTAATTTCTGAACTCCTATACAGTTGATTTGTTTTTGGAAGCGAATGCTACTACATCATTGTCAGTCGCGTGGGCCCTCCCCAGCATTGAAGTCAGTGGATTTCAGATCCGATACAGCATTTTGGATGCTTCATCTTTCACCACTTTACCATTTGGTGCAACTGTAACTTCTGCTATACTGGAAAACCTAGAGCCGGGTAAGATTTACCGGATCAACCTCTACATTGTGACAGCCGAGGGAACAGACCTTCTAACAGGAGCAGAATTTCAAACAAGTAAGACAAGATTCAAAACCCTGGGTAGTGTCATATCATTAAATATTGTTATTGTATCCCCCGGCAGTATGCCGGTGGAGTACTTTGGATTCAGCAGCGTTACGCCTCGGCGTCCGCCTCTGCCGTGTCCGCCGCTTCATATTCTTGTGTGCGCTGAAACTGCAACTTTCAAATTTTGTATGGAGGTGTATCTTGGTATAATCTCAACACCTATAACTTTTGGTGATGCTGCCCCTAGTGTTTTGTCTTCTATAGGGTAAAAGGCCAATATTTTTGTGGATGGTTTGTGTGCGCTCTAAAGGCAAACTTCCTTTCTCTGGATGCCTTTAAAAGGGCATTGACGGAAGTGTCCAACTGATGGCAGCACATTGCTGTCCACGTTTTTAACAGCACATCACTGCATATATATATTTTGCACCTGGATTGAGGCCTACACACATTTTGGACATGGCACACACCACACTGCAGTGCGTAATCTTTGTTGTATGAAGTAGCATTTACCGAGGAAGAAAAAGAAGAAGAAAAGGTCATATTTTGGTGGGTGTCTAGTGTACACCTTAACTGCCACATTTCTTGACAGCTTTCTGTCAAATTTCGTATGGAGGTGTATCTTGCTATAACTGTTGGTGATGCTGCCCCCAGTGCTCCGTCTTCTATAGGTTAAAACGCCATATTTTTATGCCTCTGTTACGAAGTAGCCCGAGGCATTATGTTTTTGGGTTGTCCGTCCGTCCGTACGTAAGTCCGTCCGTACGTCCGTCCGTCCGTACGTCCCGTTCTCGTGATCGCGTTATCTGAAGAACCAATGGATGGATTCCTGCCAAACTTTGGTCATGTATGTATCTTGCAAAGCCAATGAACTGAGTAGATTTTGGGGTCACGGGGTCAAAGGTCAAAGGTTACAGGGCTCATTATGTATGCAAAAATAGCTTGTGATTGCATTATCTGAAGAACCGATTGATTGATTCCTGCCAAACTTTGGTCATGTATGTATCTTGCAGAGCCAATGAACTGATTAGATTTCGGGGTCACGAGGTCAAAGGTCAAAGGTCCCAGGGCTCATTATGTATGCAAAAACAGCTCGTGATCGCGTTATCTCAAGAACCGATTGATGGATTCCTGCCAACCTTAGGTCATGTATGTATCTTGCAAAGCAATTGAACTGATTAGATTTTGGGGTCATAAGGTCAAGGTCAAAGGTCATGCAGCTCGTTATGTATGCAAAAATAGCTTGTGATTGCATTATCATTAGAACAGATTGATGGATTCCTGCCAAACTTAGATCATGTATGTATCTTGCAGAGCTGATGAACTGATTAGATTTTGGGGTCATAAGGTCAAGGTCAAAGGTCATGCGGCTCATTATGTATGCAAAAATAGCTTGTGCGATCGCATTATCATTAGAACAGATTGATGGATTCCTGTCAAACTTAGATCATGTATGTATCTTGCAGAGCCAATGAACTGAGTAGATTCTTGGGTCATGAGGTCAAAGATCAAAGGGTCATACATGTATATGAGAAATTGCTTGTAATCACAATATTCTGAGAACCTGTTAATGGATTACAATTGAACTTGAATTTGAAAAATTTCTTCTGTTTTGGTTTGTAAAATTGCTGTATGACGGAGGCATCATTTCGACTGCGCGCAGTCAAAGTTCTATCTAGTTTTTGATGGTTTGTGTTTGCTCTATAGGCCATATTTTTCAAGGGATTTTGTTCAAATTTTTAACAAAGGTGTATCTTGGTATAATCTACAAGCCTATAGATTTTGTTGATGCTGCCTCCAGTGTTCCGTCTTTTATAGGGTCAAAGGTCATATTCTGATAGGTGACTTGTGTGCACTCTAGTGTGCAGTCTTATTACTGCATCCTAACTCCTTGACGGATTTCTTTCGAATTGTGTATGGAGGTGTATCTTGCCATATCTAAACACCTATAACTGTTGGTGATGCTGCCCCCTGTGCTCTGTCTTCTATAGGGTCAAAAGGTCATATTTTGGTGGGTGTCTAGTGTGCACCCTAATTACCACATTTCTTGACAGCTTTCTGTCAATTTTTCAACAGAGATGCATTATACTCTAATCTACACACATATTGTTTTGGTGATGTTGCTCCTAGTCTTGACAATAGTCTGAGCCACTAGTGGTGATCTCTACTTCATCCTTTTGTTTCAGGGAGGGGAGAGGAGATCTGTGTCCCTCCTTCAAATATAAGGATGACACAAAATCGCTGCCACTGCCAGGGGATACATTTGTCATCACTTAACATGCCGGTCAACCATCCACAACCAGTTATAACCATTTATAATTAATCATCCAGTCATAACAACACAAAACTATCCCAAACCATTCAAAATCCCTCTCTTTCCTTTTTTTATTCCTAGAACAAGACTCAGAGGAACTACGCCTGCAGACAAGGACGTCCACGTCTATCTTTGTCTCCTGGGGCAACACCACCCGACCAGAGGTGACTGGTTTCGTATTGCGTATTACCTTCCCGGAGGGCAGCTTGTTACATACAAAGACTGTAGGCTTTGGTGATGTCCTAGGCATTGAATTCAGCGACCTCATCCCTGGCACTAACTACACCATTTACCTGCTTGTTGAAGTAGAAGGCCAATCGGATACAACAGTACACTCCCTTGATGTCACCACATGTAAGTACATGTATACGATTGTGTTTGGGGTTGTTGTTCCAGAGGTATCAGGTTTCTCTGTTCAATGTTTTCATATGTATTTTTTTCTCAGGAGGATTGTGTAAATTATGCCATACACTCCCAAATTCCAATCAAATGATGAGTCAAACGTCACTTATGATTCATTTACTGAGATTATCACACATAATTATTTTCAAGAAAGCATACACAAAAATTAGTCATCTTTATAATCAACATTTCCCAATACTTAGTAGACAGTTCTGTTCACATCCCACGCCAGTAAAAAGCTTTATCTTCAAATACAGTAGAGTGTTTGTATAGCCTCTCACATCCATAACTTCTCTTACTGCATTTGTGCTGTGAAATTTGGATGCCTCAGGCCATCAAAGGTGGTGCCAGAGGCATTATGTTTTTGGGGTGTCCGTCCGTTCCTCTTTCTTGTTAACATGATATCTCAAGAACCACTTAAGTTATGATCTTCAAACTTGATGATAGTACCTTATTTGCCAGCGATAAGGCCGCACTCCCAACTCCGACATTTCGTAGAGGAAAAAAAACACTAAAAAACTAAACAAACAAACCAAACTAAATAATCATAATTTTCCCATAGAACGCTTTTTATGCCTCCGCCACCGAAGGTGGTGCCGGAGGCATCATGTTTTCGGGTTGTCCGTCCGTACGTCCGTCCGTACGTCCGTACGTCCGTCCGTACGTCCGTCCGTCCGTCCGTACGTCCGTCCGTCCGTCCCGTTTGACCGTTATCACAATATCTCAAGAACCATTTAAGATTTAAACTTAAGACTCAGGAATAGTATTTATCACCATAGGAAGACGATCTGATTAGATTTTGGAGTACGTAGGTCAAAGGTCACAGGTCACAGAGGTCAACTTATGAAATTCCTTGTATTGAGTTTGTTAGCGCGATATCTCAAGAACCATTTGAGATTTAAACTTCAAACTTAAGGATAGTATGTATCACCATAGGAAGACGATCTGATTAGATTTTGGAGCACGTATGTCAAAGGTCAAGGGTCACAGAGGTCAACTTATGAAATTCCATACATTGAGATTGTTATCATGATATCTCAAGAACCACTCGAGATTTAAACTTCAAACTTAGTGATAGTGTGTATCACTATAGGAAAACAATCTGATTAGATTTTGGAGCACGTAGGTCAAAGGTCAAGGGTCACAGAGGTCAACTTATGAAATTCCATACATTGAGATTGTTATCATAATATCTCAAGAACCACTAGAGATTTAAACTTCAAACTTAATGATAGTGTGTATCACCATAGGAAGACAATCTGATTAGATTTTGGAGCACGTAGGTCAAAGGTCAAGGGTCACAGAGGTCAACTTATGAAATTCCATACATTGAGATTGTTATCATGATATCTCAAGAACCACTGGAGATTTAAACTCCAAACTTGTTTAAATTGCTCTATTGCGGAGGCATCATTTTCGACTGCGCGCAGTCAAAATTCCATCTAGTTTTCCTACAAACTGAAAACAAAATCATCAATATTCTTATAAATTTATAGTAAGATTACCTAAAAAATAATCGTAATTTATCAAATCTTCATCGATTTTTAAGCTAGTACTGTATCGCAGGCAGATTAGCACATTCATGGGGCACTAAAGGGCGCCTCGCGTGCATACAGAAACCTGAATGGCCTACTTAAATAGCTTGCAGTGAGTCGGCACTCATATAATCCTGCCATAATGGCAGGGTGGAAGGATATATCTTTTTTATAATGTGATCCGGTCTTTACCCCTAACATATCGTCAAATGGAGAAAATAAACAAGCTTTTTTATTGTTATTAGAGATCTACCGAGGTTTGTTTGTCACTTTATATGGTCTCAATTAGAATTCAGAATTATTTTACTGAAAAGTTAAGAACACTGACGATGTTCTCAATCGTAGTTACGTACATTTTGCCAGCAGCCCAAGTTCAATTTCTGAGTATGTAAGTCAAAGGCCATACCTCATTAAATATGCGAATCTGGTTTCTATTCGATAACTTGAGTAATGTTTGACAAATTTTAAAGAAATGTAGTATGAAGGTATATGGTATCAAAATACATGTACAGCCTAAGTTCGATTTCTGAGTATGTAGATCAATTGGAAAGGTCATAGCTCATTGAATATGCAAAAACACCTAATTATATATGTGAAAATTTGGTTAACTTCCTTGCCTATTAATATATTAGTATAGTCCAATGGAGGTAACTTGTTCTGATGTATATAGGCCATTTGTACCCTGCGAGGGGATGCTACGCTTTGCGTTGACTTGTTTCTTTGATTGTACAACAATTAAAAAGACAACTTTGAGTCTTATGCAACTTTTTAAAAACAAATCTTTTGAAAATCGGACGTATAGTTACAAAGTCACATGACTTTTTGTCGTTGCTTGTCAGCCCTAAAAATCGCTCATTTTTTGTGATTTGTGTACAAAACATATGGAAATATCATTTTTCCTAAAAGGAGATAAATCATTGGTTATTTGGTCTTTTTTTAAAGTTTAGGTGTTTGTTTTGGGGTCAAAATGGTTGAATTGTAGTTAGAAATGAAATAAAACAACAAAAACAATAAAATACAGAAGTAAAAAAAAAAACAAACAAAATACATAAGAAATTATCAAAACAATAGATAACATATAAAGGATAACCTGGCTCTACCAATTTATTTTTTCGTATTATTATTCCAAAGGGTCTAACAAATATATGTAGTGAAAAAGAATGCTTGAATATGATTAACATATGATTCATGGGTAAAGATGTAAAATGTATGACCTTATTTGCATAAATTACGATAAATATGCAAATGAGTACCATAGTATTCTATACACTTCACTTGACATGCATGCACATTTTCGCGGCGATTGGCTGTGAACCGGTCGGGATCTTAGGGGGGTGGTCTAATTGATCCCCCCCTGGTAAAAACCTGATCTTAAATAACCCGGTTAATATAGGGTTAAAAGATTTTAAATAAATATCTTTTCTTTATAATGCACAATTAATTTTGTAACCTCATTTCTCATACCAAAATGCAATCCCTTTTTTTTTACAGCTTATGTTATTATTACTTGTGCGCCTTGTACATTCTATTGTCATTCCTTGTTGGCTTTTACGGAGGGAATATTTTCCATTTGTTCTTTGGTTTATACTTTCAAATTTTCTATATACGTTGAATGTTATTATGTCAATTTATATGTATGTTTGATGTTGTTATTGAATGTTATTATATCAATTTAAATGTAATTTTGATGTTCTTATCTGTTATGATATTCCATCTTTTTTTGTGATATTACTGGAAATAAATTTCCATTCAATTTAATTAGTGCCTGGAATGCCAGGACGGGTCTCCTGTATCTACATCACACAAAGTCTGCTCCGGTTTGTGTGGGTCGCAACGCAGGAGGGTAACTTTGACGGTTATGCTATCAGCATACAGACCGATGATGGCGAAGAGATCCCTCTGGAATCGGTAGGGAAGGATGAGCAGCTTCAGGCGATGGCTTACTACCTGATGGACAGCACTATCTACACCGTCATCGTCAAGAGCACGCTAGGAGACTTACGAGGAGAACCTGCCACCACGATCTGCAGGACAGGTACATACAGCCTCTATACATTAAGTTTAACCCATAGCAGCTCACAGTGTTTCTATAGGTCCAAATTAAATTAAATTTTTTCTCTTCAAATTTAGGAACAATCACTTGTGGTCGCCACTCTTTCTTAATGTGACAACAAATAGAAATATAAAATGGAATGAAAACGGTTTATTATAGGCCTGGTAATTACCCAATTTAAATCGGTTTCCCAATTTTTTTCCTGATTTTATCCCTATTTTCCAGATTTTTCCATTATTTTCTTGATTCTTCCTTAGTTCCCCCCTTTTTTCCCCTATTTTCTTCCTCAAAAGGGGGGGGGGGGGGAATGTTGTTAGATGCCATTCCCCCCCCCCCCCGAATCCTCTCCTTTTTTTTAAGGGGGCGGAGTTGAGGGGGAAAAAAAACTTTTTTTTTTAGTGCTCACTATAAATAAATGAATAGATAAAATCGAAATAAAAAAGAAATGAAACGAAATTAGTAAAATGAAATAAACAAAATAAAAGGAAAAAAAGTATGAATAGAATAAAATAGAATGAAATAGAGTTTAAAATAAAAAAATAATGTAAAGCAAAATAAAACAAAATATAAAGCAATATAAAACAAAATATAAAGCAATATAAAACAAAATATTATTTTTAAAATGAAATGAAATAAGATATTAAGAGAATGGATATACAATACATGTCCAATCATATTTTAAGAGGGGATATTTCCAGTTGATTTATTGCCACTCTTTTCTCCAGATTTCCAATTCCTAAAGGTCTCCACCTCCACCTCCACCTCTGGGGGACAAGACCTGTTCCTCGACTGGCCCGACTTTGGGGCATCTTCGTACGAGATGGAATATACACCTCAGGAAGGTACCCCCAGCTCTCCCATCATCCTCGACACCAGCACAATGATGATCCTCCGCAACCTGTCCCCAGGCACTGCATACCATTTTACACTATTTGGATTTTCTGAATTTGGGAGAGGGCGACTTACCGGCGTGACCTTTGTGCTCGGTAATATACATATGAATGAGTTAATTGTGTATTTGTAAACTGATTATGAAAACCATGAAATGTATGGCCAAGGGTCGAAAAAGCTACGCATCCTGAAAATACTTGCAGTTAAATATTCATGTGAAGGTTTCATTTAAAGGGGAAGTCCACCCTAGTATTAAGTTGGTTTTAATAAAAGCAGAAAATATTAGTGAAAGTTTGTGCATAATTTGATTAAAATTGGAAATACTGTGATGCACATGCGAGCTCCCCTCCAAATTGCTCTGTACAGACATTTTAAAATTTTTGTTTTCTTAGTTATTGATGACGGAATAGATTTGTTTTTAATACAGGGCCGGGTTGTATAAAAACATATTTGCAATATTTATATTATAGAGATATTGACTGCTTCGAGAGGCCTGGTTGCTTTATACGCTCAAGAGAACGAGCGCACATCTTGCCATGACCCCTCTGGGTTATGGCAAGATGTGCAAGTTCTTGAGAGCCTATAAATCAGCCAGACCTCAAATATTAAAGCAGTTGATATGTCTTTTATATGCCGAATTGAAACAAAAATCTACCAAGAATTCTTACCTTATCCTTTTATTGAGTATTTTTGGTTAAAACATCATGGAAAATCTGAGAAACTGAGGGATCTTTCTCTTGGACTATTAACCGGTATTGGCATTTTTTGTTTCTTTACGGGAATGGCTAAAACCACGCCTCCAATTTCGACTAATCAGATGGTTGGATTTCTTAAGTGAGGTATATAATATAGTATTAATGACTGCTTTGAGAGAAATAGTTGTTTTATTACGCTCAAGGGAAGGTTAGAATTGTGCTATTCCCCGAGGCTTGCCGAGGGGAATAGCCCAATTGTAACCTTCCCGAGAGCGTATGAAAACAACTATTTCTCGAATATTAAAGCAGTCATTAATACTTTTATATGCCGAAAAAAAAAAGACTAAAAAATAAAAAAAAAAAATTTTTTAATTTTTTTCGACGACGGGACTCGAACTCTTGCGTACCAATAAGTGATGCATCTATAACCAGCGCCTCATACCACTCGGCCATCGCGTTATGTTACAATGCTTGGCAGTTTTGTACAATATATACATTAAAATGGATTGAAACCGGCTCTGCGTGATGAATGCTTCGCAAAAGCTTCATTAAACGGACCCTTCTTTTACTTTTGCAATGCATATTGGCACGAAATTATATCAAGATCTATCGGCAGATGTTGTTTTTTTGTTTTTGGAAGTTTATTTTCGTCTTCATGTCAACAATGCAAGATAAAATTGTCGGTAAGATCGATCGAGATTCAATTGTATTGAAATTACCGACCGATTCTTCGCACACATACGGTCCTCCATCGCTCAAACCATTTTTTAACATGTAAACCTATGGGGTAACCATGGACGCTGACCAACTATTTTTAATAACCATGGTTATTAAAAATAGTGAAATGTTTTATGCATGGTTACCGAGAATTTTACAGGAACAGTTGAAGTTTATGAATGCAATTCGACCAATCAGATGGCTGGATTTCTTAAGTGAGGTATATAATTAGGGTTAATGTATGATTGAACAATTTTCTTAAGAGAAAGTAGTGCATGAACATCAGGCCTGATAAAAACCCAATTTAAACTTTTTTTTTTTAATTCTTCCAGATTTTATCACGATTCTCCTGATTTTTCCTGTATTTTCTCTTTTCTTCCCTATTTCCCCCTTTTATTTCCAAATTGCTGGTGTTCCAATTTTTTTCTCCCCCTGAATCCTCGTTATTTTTTTAGTCAAGGGGGTGTGGTTGAGGGAAAAAACAACAACCCATCATTCAAAGAAGATACAATGTAAACTGTAGAAGGTTATAGGAATGTTACTTTATTACATGTACAATTGAAGCTGTATACAGGCTGCATGATCGGTACAGGAAATTTTTATGCCTCCGTTACGAAGTAGCCGGAGGCATTATGTTTTCGGGTTGTCCGTCCGTCCGTCCGTCTGTACGTACGTACGTACGTACGTACGTACGTCCCGTTCTCGTGATCGCGTTATCTGAAGAACCGATTGATGGATTCCTGCCAAACTTTGGTCATGTATGTATCTTGCAGAGCCGATGAACTGATTAGATTTTGGGGTTACGAGGTCAAAGGTCAAAGGTCACAGGGCTCATTATGTATGCAAAAACAGCTCGTGATCGCGTTATCTGAAGAACCGATTGATGGATTCCTGCCAAACTTTGGTCATGTATGTATCTTGCAGAGTCAAAGAACTGATTAGATTTTGGGGTCATGAGGTTAAAGGTCAAAGGTCACAGGGCTCATTATGTATGCAAAAACAGCTCGTGATCGCGTTATCTCAAGAACCGAGTGATGGATTGCTGCCAAACTTAGGTCATGTATGTTACTTGCAGAACCGATGAAGTGATTAGATTTTGGGGTCATGAGGTCAAAGGTCAAAGGCCACAGCGCACATTATGTATGCAAAAACAGCTCGTGATTGCGTTATCTCAAGAACCGATTGATCGATTGCTGCTAAACTTAGGTCATGTATGTTACTTGCAGAGCAGATGAACTGATTAAATTTTGGGGTCACGAGGTCAAAGGTCAAAGGCCACAGCGCACATTATGTATGCAAAAACAGCTCGTGATTGCGTTATCTCTAGAACCGATTGATCGATTGCTGCTAAACTTAGGTCATGTATGTTACTTGCAGAGCAGATGAACTGATTAAATTTTGGGGTCACGAGGTCAAAGGCCAAAGGCCACAACGCACATTGTGTATGCAAAAACAGCTCGTGATCGCGTACTCAAGAACCGATTGATGGATTCCTGCCAAAATTAGGTCATGTATGTTACTTGCAGAGCCAATGAACTGAGTAGATTCTTGGTTCATAAGGTCAAAGGTCAAAGGTCATGGGCTCATTATGTATGCAGAAATAGCTTGTGAACACATTCTCATTAGAACTGACAGATGGATTACTATTTAACTCAGGACATCTTGCAGAGCCAATGAACTGAGTAGATTTTAGGGTCATGAGGTCAAAGATCAAAGGGTCATATATGTATATGAGAAATTGCTTGTAAACACGATATTCTGAGAACCTGTTCATGGATTACAATTGAACTTGAATTCGAAAAATGTGTTCTGTTTTGGTTTGTAAAATTGCTCTATGACGGAGGCATCATTTTCGACTGCGCGCAGTCGAATTCCATCTAGTTTGTCATATCTTTTGATACAGGTTTCAATCAGCAATTTTTGTCAAATAAAAAAAAGAAATTGATTGTTAAAGCAGGTTTGACTGTATGATAATATATATAGGCTTTACGTGTACATGTGATAAAAGAATTTTTAAAATGTAACTCCCCTAATACAGCACCATTGCCTGTAGTGCAGGTCATCATTGAACTCCGACGGCCCACGTCTTTTACCATCCACATTACTTTGCCACGAAAAGGAAGGTAGGTACTCGCTTGTATAAAATGACCTTGTCCAAATATGAAGTGGTAAACCGTGGCAGTTTTTTTTCATGATGACATGAAGTATAATAATTATGCTTTACATTTATGTGTTTTAGTTAACAGAGTTAACTGAATATGCATAGGACCCTTGTTGCTAACAGTAACAATTCATTTATGCGTGAGAAACCGCTGTAAAGGGGGCAAAGGACAACGGGCTATCATATGAACATAACTATGACAGCAATGTCTCAAAGAGGGCAGCATTACACAATGGCACTGCCCCTTTGCAAACGTTGATGGCGAAGCTTCAGTCCAGCTACTGAGGGGGCACTGGATCTTTCTTGTCGGGAGGGGGCGGTTGATTAGATACAAGCAGCCAAGGACATCCATTACCCTGGTCAACAAGTTGTTCTGTTTCTTTAATCAAATAATGTCTCTTCTGATGGATTATGACATGAGATTTGAATGTAATCATGAAAATCATGAGTAGCTGCACAGTTTTGAAAGTATTCATATGCCAGTGTTTATGAGATAACATGTATGGATCCTTTAACCTAACAATCTGCGGAAAATCTGAGAAGATCAAAACAAGAAAGCCCAATTTATTATTTACAAAAAAAGTGATTTACTTCTGCTACTTTGCTTCTTGAGCAGGTATCGTTTCCTACGCCTGAGGGTCAGACGACGCAGCCAGGGCTTGGACACTGGACCAGACGGAGACGAATTCTTGATTCCGACGGACGCCTGTCCGGAGTATACCTTCAATAATCTTCTACCAGACACGGACTACGCCGTGGATGTGAACACTGTCGCTGAGGATGAACGCACAGAGAGCAGTCCGAGTACAATGGATGTAACAACGCGTACGTCTATGTCTTGTTTCTGAATCATATTTTTGGAAGGGCAACAGATAAGCCTTAATTAATTTTTTTTTTGTGGGGGGGATTTTATTTTGGCTGCTTAATTCTAAGTGAGCCTCCTGATCTTCATTAAACAAAAAATTTCTCTGATTTGATTAGAACATCAGGTAGCACTTATGAAAGGGTGTCTCTTGGATAGGATGGTAGATGGAGGCCCATGTAGAGAAGAGTCACCCCTTTTGCACTTTTATACCCCTTTCAAACTGGCTTCTATCAGAGTCACACCGATGAAAATACTGATTGAATTTTCCTTATGTAGCAAAGGTGAAACCGCCGCTTTCCCTGCTGTCCCTTTCATATATACAGCCAGGAAAATTCACTCGCTGTGGTGAGCCCTGGCCGGATGTGAAGAATTATTGCGCATAAGCAATGTGGAAATTCAGTGAAAAAGAAATAATGTGAGCGCGATGCGATAAACAAAAATCCATTGTACTTTCATTATATTTGTTAGTAATCAGTTTTGAATATACAAATACAAATAAAACAAATCAAATTAGGCCCGCGCCCCATCTAGCTAGCATGCAGCATGTTCAACAAAATGTCAATAAACGCAGCTGGTTAAGAAAAAGCGTGTACACTGCGACCTTTGACCATATTCATCAGTGTTTTAATCGCTGTTTTCTCCTGAACCCATTCACAGTGGCAGTTTTATCGGTGTCACACCGATAGAAAGAGAATTTCTCCTGTTCTTGAGCAGGAGAATTTAATCGCCTATTTCTCTTCTTTTCGTCGGCTATTCCAGCAGCTTTTTCTCCTCTGTCATAGTGGCCATTTCATCGGATGCGTCCGGATGCATCCGATGTAAATCAGGCCAGTTTGAAAGGGGTATAAGAACCCACTACTGCACTATTTGTATAAGAGTAGGGGGAAACCCTGGTGTAGTGGTCCACCTGCACAATCCAACCAGTTATATCGGGAGGAGAGACCCGAGGGTTACAGTGATTGAGCTCGATTTTCGCCTCCCAGGCACAGGTGACGGCAAACACATAATAACAATAATAAAGTAAAACTTCCTCCAATGAGGTCTCCACTTCAATCAGCTTCTCGGGAGGAGGTTGCTACTTCTGAAACTCTTGAAGTGAAACATGGTTTTTGGCAGCCTTGTTCTAAGAGAGCTTTATGAGTTTCATAACAATCAAAGATCCTCTTAGATGATTTGATTTGATTCATCATCCGGTAGCTCCTAAAACCTTCTGATTTTCATTGCAATTAAAAATTTGATTTGATTTTGATTTGACAACTAGTAGCATGTATTAAAGAAGGTCAAATTTCTTTCAACGACATCCCTTCCACCAATGCTTATTGAGGATGGGGGGGGGGGGGGTGATTGTTTTGGTAACTTCTCAGTAAGAGAGCCTCCTAATTTCCATTACATTGTTTTAAAAACAAATCTTATTTAATTGTATTCAATGTTGCATCTTTCAGCACCTATGCAGGAAGGTGAAATTTCTTTCAACGGGATCACGACCACGTCAATCAATTTCTCATGGGGTATGGTCTCGGCCGATACCAACGGACCCTTCGACTTCTACCTTCTGAACTTGAAGAACGAGTTGAGCATCGATATCCACAACGTCCAGGTGAATACCAGTGAGACTAGAGAGCATACCTTTAGCGGTTTGATGCCAGGCAGGCTGTACAGGGTGGAGCTGATTGTCAACAGTTTCAGACAGAGAAGTGCAGCCATGTACACCCGTAAGTTTATGCAATGACAAAAAGCAGAACGTGTACATGTATGTACCTGTGCGTATGGATAATGAGATTCCATATGGCATATCAGGGGCAGCTCCAGGGTTTTGTGAAAGGCAGGTCTAATTGACCCAAACTTTTGACTAGCAATGCAGGAGAAAAGGAATAAGAAAAAAAATGTATTCAGATAACTAGGGTTATAGGAAAAACCACTGGCAATCCTAACCGTATACCTATGATGAAATAAATTCTGAGAAATTGTTGCAGGAGCAAATGTCGGATCATTAGTAAAGAGATATCAACTGCTTTGAGAGGCCTGGCTGTTTTATATGCACGCGGAGGGGTCATGTCAGGACGTGCTAGTTCCCGAGATCATATAAAGCAGCTAGACCTCAAATATTAAAGCAGTCGATATGTCTTTTATATGCCGATTTGAAACAAAACACTATCAAGAATTCTTACCTTATCCCTTTATTGAGTAAATAATCGTGCCATAATGAATACAGCCCAGAGCAACAGGGCTAATCCCCATTGTGCCAAGCCACAAATCCCCCCTGTGCCAAGTTTATTTTGAGATAATCTGATAATCTGATGGTGCGATCTATAACGCTTGGGAAGGACTCAGCACAGTACAATGGGCATGAACAATAACTGCTATTACGAATGCGAGCAAACATGCATGAAGCAGCGAAGCGATAGCTCGCTTGTGTGAATTAATCAGCCAATCGATGGCGCGCTTGCGTGTACAAAGCACTTTAACGGTAGCGTGCATGCAGCCTCATGGCAGGATATGAGTTAAAACATCACAAAAAATCTGAGACACTGTCTGTAATCTTTGCTTGAAAAATGACTGAAAGTTTCAATCATTTGGGAATCGCAGACAAAAAGCACTGTATGGAGTCCGCGCTTGCACAAAGGACATTTTAACACATTAACCAATGGGTATCGCAGCAAAATTTTACTTTTTTCATTGTAACCAGAATTTTGAGGGATCTCACTCTTGGACTATTAACCGGTATTGGCATTTTTCGTTTCTTTACTGGAATGGCTAAAATCACGACCCCAATTTTGGCCAATTATATCCAATATCAAGTATCATATATTTTTGATTCCAATTGAAATCTAAACCATACAAATGTAAATCATAGAAAAAAGACATACACAAAGTAGGGAGATAGCAATCCATTTATTACAAAACACAGGTTAAAGGTAATACAAAGTTTGGTATGGGGTCATGAATTTGGTTCAAATGAACATATTGGAAGCATATATTCGATCCTACAATACTCGGTGATCGTTGTCGCGGTTGAAATCGAGTCTAAAGTTATGAAATTGTAAATAATACACTCTTTATGTTGTATAGCTCCCTCTCAAGGTCAAGATATTAATTAAGCTATAAAATAATGTCTCTTGACTAAAATCGACCAGCTAGCTATTCCCGTTTGGAAACTATATATCACAACTACATATTCTGAGATTTTCATGGTCGCAGCTACCATCGTACAGCCGTAGACGCTATTTGAAATTTTATCAAAATTTACCAGGAGCACCGGTAAATTTTTATATTCAATTTTTCTTGAAAGCAGAAGTGTTTTAGGGACTAAATTTTTTAGTGCTTATAATACATCCACAGGGGCATGCAAATATATCAAAATAGTAAAGAATCACTATCCACCCAATTTTCAAAATTTCCCAAAACTGTATTATCTTTAAAAGTAAAGAAAAATACTATAGAAAATTGAAATAAAGATAACAAACATTTAAAACATTTACAGTTGTGTACACATGAAATCAGATGTAACCATCAATGTAAAAGTGTAAAGGAATATTACATTTAATAAATTAAGTTTTTGTCGAGGCAATACCCCATATGAATTAGAGATATTAGTGTTTAATGGCATTGAGATTCTATAAGTAATCTGAAGTGAGGTGAAATCAGGCAATCAGGTTAATTCTGTGTATTTCTCGTTCTCATTATTCCAGGCCCAGATAAACCAACCGACATCATGCTCTCTGACATCACAACAACGAGTCTCACCATCGACTGGAAAGCACCGCTTACCAGCCATCAAGGTTTCAGGCTCTGCTGGGCTTATGGCGAGACCAACACGCTGGAGCTTGGACCAGCTATCATGGAACGAACGCTGTCAGACTTGGAAGCAGGAGCCGAGTATCTGATTTCACTCACTGCTGTCGTTGGCACGGGGACTGACCAGATCACTAGCGAGAAGTTCACTACCATTGTCACCTTATGTAAGTATATTGCGAATTGTAAAGAAACCGTCGCAGTCACCCTACCCCTTATACAAAAGACAACAGAAACAATGGGGCGTTGTGGCGTGCGCCTGTAATCCAGATAACAATGGAACTTATAAACTGATTCAGTCAAGGACGCAGGTTCGAAACTGAGTCACGTCTTTATGATGGTGACGTTAAAAGTCGGTCCTCGGACGTAAATAATCATAATTGATTGATTGATTGATACACGTCTGTAAAAAAACAATTACACACACAAGGCTACTTGTCATTACATTCATTTTAGAAATATCTGATTCTCATGTTCTGCTCTTGGTGGGACAAAATCATCCAAGAAATCATCTGAGAAAAGATCAACATCATTGTTGCCTTCTGTTAGTAATGAAACATGCAGTCACCATCACTACAACCCTTTAAATATCACAACAATTTAAAGAGTACTTGTTGGTACAGTCATTTATATGTATAAATATGTATAAACGTGCAGAAACAGACGGTGACACACAAAAAAAATAATTATAGTACATGAAAATAACCCCCATCATACAACCTGATATTAACCATGACCTATTTTTCCCTGTAGTCCCACCTGCTGAGCTCCACGTCAACATAACCAGCTTCAACACCACCACACTCTCCATAGTTTGGGGGACAGACATCACTCTCTTGGACGTCAGCAGTTACATGGTCAGCTACTGGGAGACTGCCAACAACGGGTCAGTCCAGGACATCACGGTGGACGATCCTAGCCAGACCGACTACACCATCGACGGTCTGGTGCCAGGCACTCGGTATTGTTGCATGGTGGATGCTCTGGGAACTGTTCGGGCAGTCACCTCCATCGGAGCCACACAGTACACAAGTATGTCCATGGGTGATTCCACACTCACACTGGCAACATTAATTGGGCCTTATAACTCACAGGTGTAGCTTTAATTGACTGTAGGCTCTTCAGATTTCAATCTTCTGTTAGTTCCGTTCATTTTAATTAATACTGCATGTAAAGAAATTGATATGGGCTGCTCACATTCTTTTCTTCCCTTTGACAATAGAATTCATGTTTGTTTTTACTGTGTATTCTGAAAACATTGTAAAATATCAAAACGTGAAATATGAAACAATAAACAGAGACTAAATTGTTTGTACACGTACAGCATTGAATATTAGTCTGGTTCCAAGGGGACGATGTGATAGAATCAGGCCTCAGTCAGGTGGCCGCTGAAGCCTGATAAAAGAGACCGTCAAAAAACAATGATGATGACGATGATTTTAGAGGACTGAAAGTAATTGATTCCTACAAAATCACTCACATTATGTTTCTGGTTGTCCGTCCGTCCGTCACGTTCTTGTGATCACGTTATCTCAAGAACATTTTCATGGGTCACCGCCAAACTTGGGTCATGTATGTATCTTGCAGAGTTAATGAATTGATTTGAATTTGGGGTTACAAGGTCAAAGGTCAAAGGACACATGGCTAATTATGTATGCAATATGCAATAGCTCGTGATCGCGTTATCTCAAGAACCAATTGATGGATTGCCACCAAACTATAAAGGTCATGTATGTATCTTGCATAGCTAATGAAGTGATTAGATGTTGGGGTCAAGAGGTCAAAGGTTAAAGGTCACAGGGCTTATTATGTATGCAAAAATAGCTTGTGATCGTATTGTCAATACTGACAGATGGATTACTATCAAACTTGGGACATGTACAGTGTATATATCTTGCAGAGCCAATGAACTAATTAGATGTTAGGGTCATGAGGTCAAAGTTCAAATGGTCATACATGTATATAAAAAATATTTATGACAATATTCTGAGAACCTGTTAATGGATTACAGACATCATTTTCGACTGTGTGTAGTCGAACATCCATCTAGTTTAAATTGCTTCCGTTTTGGTTTGTAAAATCGCTCTATGGCGGAGGCATCATTTTCAACTGCGTGTAGTCGAACATCCATTTAGTTTAAATTGCTTCTGTTTCGTTTGTAATATTGCTCTATGGTGGAGGCATCAGTTCCATCTAGTTAAAATTATGAGTACCAGTATATTGAGCACACCATCTTGAGTATATTGGGGTAATGATGTACATATAGGACCATATACGTATAGTCCACTTAATGAGCCCGTTTTATATGGCCACGGGCATTTTGATGACCCATGAGCTACTTTCAAAAGTTTTTGTGATTCTTCCAATCCCCCGATCGCCGGACCGAGTCAACTCAATCTTCCGATAAATGCATAATGAGCCACGGATCATTGACCAATCAAAGTCGCGCCATTCCAATCCTTAATGTGCTCAGGTCACCTGATCGCGGGATGTATTTCTCCGACTGGTTCAACGTTTGTTAGCGGACGATAGTAACGCATCATGTGACTTATACAGTCTCAACTTCATGACAGTATACTGTGCAGCCTTTACAAGATTTTTATATGGAGTTGAGGGCGACCGTTTATTTCAACGAACCCACGATCCTAATCTTCTTTTGTTTTTTAACGATAGACAGTTCTGGTAGTATTTGATATTCACCTGCCATAGGCATAACACGCAAATTCAGAAATTTCTGACATGTGGCCTTTAATTTACATTTTTACTATGATGACTTCATCAAAATGAAAAATTGTGGTAACTGCGCTTGTAGAGTATTGTCTTAGCTACAACATATCGAAATTTGGAAGAAAATCAATCAATATTTACAGAGATACAATCAATTTTCCATAAATGTGCTGACGTCATAATATGCAAATTCGTATTTAGAGTTTGAAGGCTATTATGATGACGTCAGAATATTTTTAATGGCCAAACGAGACATAAAATCATATCTGACTCATACTCTATCAAAATTTGAAAAAAATTAACTTTTGTCGAAGACGGGATGTGATCTCTTGCGTACAGATGATTTGACTAAAATCACCGCCTTAGACCGCTCGGCCATCCCGCACTGATGCTAGCCCATGTAGTTTTCTGTGATGTATACATTGCGCCTCTCTCTTGTGTATTGAAATGGATTGAAAATAGCGACTTCGCGTGCTGGATGCTTCGCGGCAGCTCCGTTAAACGGGCCCTTCTTTTACTGTTGCAATGCATTGGCACTAACTTAGATCAAGATCTATCGGCAGATGTTGTTTTTGGAAGTTTATTTTTGTCTTCTTGTCAACAATGCAAGATAAAATTGTCGGTAAAATGTGTGGAAATGTCCTGTACCATAGTGGTATAGTTATTGTACCGTTAGTAGTCCCATATGTGCAAATTCGTGCTGGTTTTGACTTACTTTTTTTTTTTTTTTACTCTTTCGCCGCATAGGCTGCACCCAAACTTTTTGATATTTTCTCTTCCAAAAGAGATAAACGGTATCAAATTGTTTGAAAGAATGTGGGAAATATCATGAAAGAAAAAAATGGTGATTTTATGTTATGTCATGGTGTTACGTGCGAAAATGAGCGTGCATGTGTGTGTGCGCGATTTTTTATAAAATGCTCAAAATGGCCTTAAACATATGCAAAATGAATTTGAGATGATTTGGAGCATGTTAAAATTTTGCACGCGCGTTTATTGACCTGAAATTGACCAGACAGATACCTTGATCATGATTAACCCTTACTGTACTACGCTATTTCGAGCACTCTCTGACTGATCTCGGCCGTCGAATGTCCGACGAATGCAAAACTTTGCATGTTTGTAGATATTTACGTAAGGAACAAGATGGTATAATTAGTTTTTTCCTAATATGCAAATTTTTGTCGTTAATTAGTTAATTAATTATGCAAAATGCTAATTTTATGCATTTTACAGAAAACTACATATTTGTCCGTAGAATTGTGAAGAATCTTAAAAATGTATTGAATAAATTTTTCCTTCATCTCAAATTCATGAGGTTTCATTATTTTTATGATATTTGAAAATGCATTGGTTAATTTGCATAAACTATGAATACGCATTCATGAATATCAAATCTGATAATATATATAGGGGACTAGAATCGTAACAAAAATTGTCAGACTCTACTTTTTGAATGTTGAAACTCATTATTCAAATGAAACTTCTTTTCTAACACAAAATAGTTATTTGATGTAATAAATAATGATAATTTATGCAAATTTGATGCGATTTTCAACTAATTATTTTCTCATGTATTTTATTGTTTTTTATTTCTTATTAAATTTATTGTTTTATTTCTAATGTATTCTTTTGTTCTTAAATACATCAAGTAACTTTGAGAAACATATAAAAGCAATTTGATATCAATTCATATCTTCACATTTCTGCTTGTACATGAATATATGCAATTATATACCTCACTTAAGAAATCCAGCCATCTGATTGGTCGAAATTTTCATAAACTTTAACTGTTCCTGTAAAATTCCCGGTAACCATGGTTAAAACAGTTCTAAAATCCCAATAACCATGGTTACCGGGAAAATAGGTCAGTCTCCATGGTTACCCCTTAGGTTTACATGTTAAAAAATGGTTTGAGCGATCGAGGATACCGTACGTGTGCGAAGAATTGGTCGCTATATTTTACCAATTTTGTAATACAACTAGCAGCGAATCCGGACTAACTCGCCCCACGGGACATCTCGCCCCAGCATCAAAGACTGGGTCGAAATGTCCCGACACGATTCATCGATCGAGTGATACCAATGTGTATATGTTTGTGCTCATTGTACATTTTAGACGATATGGCTGATATTTGTTCACATTCTTTCGTCCTGGCCGTTAATTAGCAGATTACTGGTATCTCTCTATCGATAAATCATGTCGGGATATCTCGCTGGGGCGAGTTAGCCCGACTCCCTAGTAGCTGCCAGCAAAAACGACCGACTGTACTAGTACTCGGCCAAAATGGCTGAAGAAATGCTCCCAAGATTTTAACTTCTGGATGAGGATCAAGTGCGAGACATGCTGACAGGAAGAACACCAAAAAGGGTATGTGAAATCTTCCATAATTTTTTTTCAGTAGCCCTAGATCTAGATTCTAGTACGCGACAACCAGATGCTGGTGATTGTAGTGATTTGTACGTCACGGACAGACGCAGATCCTTCCCGTAGAGATTACACACATTCCTATGCACTTCCATTGGCCATTGCGCATTCGATCATGCTAGATTGGTCGATGTTTTAATTACCAGAGATTCAAACTAATATTGCTCGTGATCCTGAAGGTGATACTCAATAAGTGAAGTGTCATATGAAAGCGCAGGTTTTTCTCCATATTCCCCCCAGGGCCAGCCCACCCCCAAAATTGTAAAAATATCTTGCTTAGACTAGATTTTATCTAGAATCTAGATCTAGATCTAGTCTACTCTCAAAGAAACATTCATTACAAACAACCGTGCAGATAAACTAGAAAAAGGCCAAGGTGGTGTCATAATTTTTTCGGCATATAAAAGTATTAATGACTGCTTTAATATTCTAGAAATAGTTGTTTTTATACGCTCTCGGGAAGGTTACAATTGGGCTATTGCCCTCGGCACGCCTCGGGCAATAGCACAATTCTAACCTTCCCTTGAGCGAATAAAAACAACTATTTCTCTCAAAGCAGTCATTAATACTATATTATAACACTTTTTTGATGACATGCGCAAACTAATTGTTATGTAACACCTGACAGGTATATCCGATTTTGACGAAAAAGGTATCAAAATGTGCGTACGACTTAAGGGAAAAAAAGTCATGAAACAACAATTCAAAATTCCGAGCGGTTGCGGCGCAATCTCCAAAAATATCGAGGGGGGGGGGGGCCTCCCAGGCAGTAAGGGTTAAATATGAATGAGAAATGACTTTCTGTTATGAAGATATGATCATGAGTTGATTTTCAGAAATATTCACAAAATGGCGCCTAGATGACGTCATCAGTCAAG